CAATGCGAGCAGCAGGGTTCTTGGGAGCCTAAAACAAACCTGTAAATATTTACAGATAGTCGCTGATACATGTGAGACATGCGAGACACAAAAGATCCCATTGAAACTGGACAAAAGTCCAGAAATGACTGCTCCTGAATATAGGATCCGTTGATCCAGCTATTGGTGGGGAACAGAGAGAGCTGTGTGGCCATGCACAAGATTAAGAGGGGCGGGGGAGCGTGGGGATCTGGGTGCTACAGTGGCGATAGCCACCATACTGCTTCAGCGCCCGTCCTTCATCAAACCAGATAAACTTCTGAAGGAGCTGCTGAGTGACCGCTGCTGGTATGCGGCCAGAAAACAGCCGAGCGTGTCTGTCTCCCGAGTCGATCGGCCTCTTATCGTGAACAAGAGGGAGAAATAAGACGCTGCAGCGATGGAGGCAGCTGTAGATGGCAGTCTTGACTTCCCTCGCGAGCAGCAGAGCCCCGGGGGTGAAGGGCTTGTATATCAGAAGCCTTCAGCACTATTATCAGCACTCCGACAGAGGCAGATCAGACGGTACATGAATACCGCTGGTCATTTTCGCTCAGGGAACTCTCCCAGGTACAGAGATAATGAAAACCCCGGGCTGCTGCTGAACACAGAGGGCAAAGGATTCTGGGATCAATTAGAAAACCATGCTCCTGACATTAGCTCCCTGATACTTGCCCATCATGCGGGCCGCGTTGCACCATCCACATGCACGTGTTGTTAAAAAAATTTTAAAAAGTATTTATGGAAATGTAATGACCTCTGTAAAATCCAAAGAAGCCCTCATAGCGCAGCACTTTCTTCGCACAGTCGAAGCTGTTCTTGTACATCAGCTCTCCTACGAAGGAACCCGTGGAGCGCTGGTTCTGCATCCGAGTCTTCACCAGGTCGATGGGGTACACGGCAGTGGCGCCGGTGGCTGCGGAGCAAACAAGCGGTCAGTGCTGATGCCAAAAACAGTAGAGAATTGCATAGGTTAAAAGAGAACTGCAGTATTTAAGGAGATTTATATTTTATCTTTGAACTGCAGGATGATGAATCCATTTTTTTTGGGCTAATTTAATGAAGAAAAGTAAAAAATCTGGACTTTTGAAGGAGTGTAACTTGTCAAGACGAGTTAAAAATCAGACGAAACTTCTCCTTTTTGGGTCATTTGGATTGACCGCTTTTTTTTCTAATTGCTAAATGTCGCAGAAATGAAAGAAAGAACGCCAAAGATTTGCTTATCAAATTATTAAAAATCAGAGGTTTGTATACATTCCTTCATATTTAGTAGCATTGCCTTTGAACTGTATGATTTGTGTCAAACATTTTGGGTTTCTTTCCACAACCGCCCCCCCTCAATAGTTTACTAGAGTTCTGACCCATTCCTCCTGACAGAACTGGTGGAACTGGGTCAGGTTTGTAGGCCGCCTCACTCACACACTCCTTTTCAGATGAGTCCATAAATTGTCTACAGGACTGAGATCAGGGTTTTGTGATGGCCACTCCAAACACTCACTTTGCAAATCTTACTTTTTCATGTTTCTTTTAGAGAACTGACTTCCTCCCCACAAAATTATTCATACCACAACTAGACTTAGGTTTAAATGTATATTTTAATTTGAACAATAGGTTTATTTCTGACTGGAAAGAATATTAATATCTTGAAGTGGCCCAAGCAGAGATCTGACATGTATCTTTTTCTAGGGTGTAAATATTTGCCGACATTGTGTTTTTTGAATTCTCAAAGAAAAACAGGATTCAAGTCGAGAGGTGACAGAGCTTCTGAATGCCGTGGTTGTTTCCACTGGTGGGGGGCAACGTAGACTTGAAATGTTATCACAATATATGTTGCATTTATCGTGACAATAAAAAGTGACAATAAAAAATCCATAAGAACTCATTTATGTGTTTAGATCAGCTGTTATAAAAACCCCACAAATGCAAATATTAGCCATAAAAATAAACAGTGGAGAAAATGACTAAAAGCAACAATCCCAGCCATGCTGTCGGTTTCTACCATCAATAATTCAGATTTATCACATACAATAATTGTCCATTATGTATTTATTTGTTTATTTTAATGTTGCTCTTCAGCACTTTGGTCAACCTTGGTCGTCTTTTCAGGGTATTTTATTAATAAAATGCGACGTTAAAGTGTCATCCACACAGAGTTGCAGAGATGCAACCTGCTAAAATACATCCAACAATGCATTTTTGTTATCTTTTAAGTTGTTGTCTCCATCTTCTCACAGCTTGAACAACATGAGCAGCTCAAATGCATCTTTAGGAACCTGAAATGACTGGTTTCTGCAACCTAGAGTGGTGCTGAGGTAAGCTGCACTAAATCCCTGCTCTCAGCTGCACATGCTGCATCTTGTCTGACATCGGTTGTTGGTGTACTGATTGTTCTCAACCATTCAAAGAGCCTAAAAAGTGAGAAAAAACTCATTGTAACAAAGAAATTGCAGTTTCACCGTAACATCTCGCGACAGACGTCTCGCTCGGGCCCCGTCTTGAATCGGCCACTGCCGAGTGACGACGACGTGGACCCGCACACTCACAGGGTCGGAGCGAGCTCCTGTCTGTGGGCTGGTTATGTCAGTGGTTCCTTGTTTCTGCTCCCTCCAGTGTAATTAGAGAGGGAGATTCCACGGAGTGCGGTTCCGGAAGATTTGTGTCATTCCAAAGCTCCGTCTCCAAAGACAGCCTGGAGCCACCGGTGGCACGGCAGCACAATGCCGGAGCCTCACATCACAGCCCCTCTCCCCTGAAAACACAATGGCCGGCCCCGGGGCCTCAGTTGCGCCAGTCGGGGCGGCTAAGGTTACCCCTCGGGCGGGCCGGGGGCCTCTGCTGTAGACATGTCACTCACCTCCAGCGATTGAGCCCAGGGTAAACCTGTAGGCGGACTCTGCAGCCTGGAGCCAGATGGGCCGAGACGTTTCGTGAGCGTGCTGTATGGGAGGAAAGAGACACCGGCGGTCAAATGGATCTGGAGAAAGATGGAGGCTGGATCACAGCGCTAATCATGAACCGGCGGGCTATCAAGCCACAGTGAAACGGATACATTGTGGAAAGAAAAATGTTATGGAGATGGAATGTGGACATTTCATGTACAGTCTGATTCACCGGCAGTCGGTATTAAATGTCAGAGACAGATTAGCTCCGGGTGACTGCGTGGACCTGTGGCGGAGTTTTCCACATATGTTTTCATCTTGGAGGTTGTGATCCAAACATTTGGTTTTTATTTTAAAAGTATGATTTCTCTCCTATCTCCATCATCTCTGTACTGGTGTTTGATGTTCTCTGTTTCCGCTGGAGTGCAGGGGAACAGATTAGCCCAACAACCCGTTCCCATGTTCAGATAATAATCTACACAAGACGCAGTTCCTTGCGAGAACTTTCATATTCCTTCAGCCTTTCCACATTTTGTCACTTTCACAAACTGTAATGCGTTTTGTTTTGAGTTTGTGTGTTACAGAGAGACATAATCTGGGACAGAATAGTGAAGATGAAACAGTTCTGGTTCTGCTGCAATTGGTGAGCCCCAAACACACCCACCGACTCATCATTCTAGCAAAAAAACACCACCTACCCTGTCTCTTACCACACATTAAGAACTGAAGCAGAAAAATAGACAGATTGCCTGATTTTATTTTGTGTTTTTCATATTCGTCTCAATCTGAGATGGCACTGATGGTGAAAAAGCATTGAAAATCTCCATTCTGTGTGTAAAAAATAGAAAAAAAAGAAGCTTTCATGAATCTCAAATCGAGTTCTAAGAAAGTGTTTGAACAGCATTTTAAGCGTTGTAGTAGAGATGATAAATGATTAAAAAAAGTGAAATAGCCCTTTATTTCAGTAAAGGCTTGAAAGGTATATATCAGCCACCAACTTTAGCCAGCTTTATACCAATCTTACATTGCTTGGACATTGGAAAACACTAGGGGGCGACAATACTTGGTGACTGGGCATGCTACTATGAAGAAGTCATGGAAAATTAGTTTGGGGTTTAGTTGAAAGATACGTTAAACCTTTTTTTTTTAGTAAGAATGGTGCCCACCTGATCATGACGCCCTGGACATAAACTACGCTTCATGACTTTCAAATATAAATAAGAAGGTGCGCTGTGCATTTGTATTCAGCCACCTTTACTCTAATACCCCTAAATAAAATCCAGTGAAACAAGTCGATTTCAGGAGTAACCAAATTATTACATAAAGATATCTGGTGTGTAATTTAATCTGAGTATAAATCCAGCTGTTCTGTGAATAGTTCACAGGTTTGGCAGGGATCTTTTGAAGAAGCTGAAGCCGGATGAAGACATAAATCAATATAATGTTCTACAGAGATCTGCATCGTCCAAAAATGCAAAGAGTGTGGCATTACTACCTATCCACTAAGATGTTGAATTTGCATCTTGCTGTATATATCTAAGATAGTTGATTGATCAAAGTCTTTATTTTAAATGACATGTAATTAATATAATACATCTCAGCTTGAAATCTGGGTTATTTTCTATCAAAATAAATCACAACTTTCATTTAAATAAGAACATTTACATAAAGACATTTATATGAATGCTCCTGTTAGCTCTTTACAGATGTTGGATGTTTATTTATCACAGTTTAAGCTTCTGAGGAGGTGAAACTCCTTCCCACCATTGCACTTTATACACTTTGGTTAAATGGTCCTCACGCTCCACATGGAGACAACCGGATTGGTATATTTTAATTTGGAAAGAGCAACCACGGCCTCCACACAGGCTTTTATTACATTCAGCATTCCTTCTTTACGTGCAGAACTTGGAAAAACTGCATTTTCTTACAAGGCTCCTTCTGCTTGGAACAAACTGCAACAAGCTGTGCAGCTTCACTGAACTGAAGGATTTTAAATGTACTTTAGTGCATCAATGGTTGTCCCTGTGCTTCTTGCTTTATTTCTACAGTCTTTTATTTTCCTTCGTTATACTTTTTCAGCTAACCGATATGAGCTGAAATAACTCTAGTGTGTTTTAGTTTGTATGCATGTACAAACGGTGACCATGTACAAACAGGTCACTCTTGAAAATAAAACCTTGTGTCTCAACAAGATATACCAGTATATAAATAAAGGTGAAATAAAAAAATAATCAGAGACGTAGCCAAGACAGGAACATAGTAACTCTGGAGGAGCTGCAGAGATCCACAGCTTAGGAGTGACTGGACATCTATTCGTCGTTTGCTCTACAAATTTGGCATTTGGCAAAGAAAGTCATAAAGTCAGTGTGTAGGATTTTCTTGTTATGTAGGGGAGGGAGTAAAAATGTGAATGAAACTGAACTTTTTGGCCTACATGCAATACACCCTGTACTGAATATCACCCTGAATATCATATATCGTGGGTATCACCCTGAAGATACCGTCTCCACTGTGTAATACGGTGGTAGCAGCATTATGCTGTGGGTATGCTTCTCTTCACAATGGATAGGGAGGCTGGCCAAAGTTGATACGAAAGTCACATTTATTCTCAGCAAAGTACACTAGAGTTTGTGGTTGTAACTTAAAATCATGTGGAAAAACTTCAAGAGGTGTTCATGCTCTTCAAACTACCAGCGTGCGCAGTTTGGGGGTGTGTGAGTAACTTCCCCCAGACGAGACGTTAAGGGAGCAAAGCAGATCGCTCTTTTCCTCTTCCCAGATGCTTCCAGTGAAGGCCGCATGCTAACAAGATCGAGGTCTTGATCAAAGGCTTTAAACAATTAGTCTACTTCCACTGAAGAGCAGGCTTGAGAATCACAGCTACCCCCACAACCCGCCGCCCGCCCGCCTCCCCAGAAGGAGTCAAATTCCAGACCTCTGAGCGCGAGACTCTGGAGCACGAGTGGTCTGAAAGCTCTGACACAGAGCCGTGTTATCCGGTGGAGGCAGGAACTATTTTGTTCTCCCACATCCACCTTGCCTCCCACTCCCCTCCTGCCATTAGCAGACTTCGCTAAAGGCTTCTAAAACTTCTCAAGCCCCACGGTGATAAAAGCCTCTTATTAGCGCCTCAGATGTGTGATTGCAGCTGATGCGTATGTGCAGCCGCACTGAATAAAATAGGAAGAGCCTTTCATGGAGAGCCGCAACGCAACAATCCATTCCTCTTCTGTGACTATAATTGGTGTACTTTTATCTGGGAGTTTAAGAAATGCACTTCACAAGGGAAGAAAAACACGGGCTCTCTGCTAATTCAGAGCCTGAACATGCTGCCTTTCTTCGCTCCCTTTTCTGAGAGGGAAGCGGAGATAGAGAAGAGGAAAAGGCTTTGATGAAAGCCAGTTGGAGGAGGATGCGAGGAGTATTAGAGAAGTCACTCAGGATACCTGTCTCTGAGTCTCAGCTAGGTGGTACGGCATGGCTCCTTCCTCCAGCGGCGCGACTCGCTCGATGTCTGCGTTGTTCAGCCGCCTTAACGAAGCGAAAGTGGGAGTTAGGCCAGGAAAAAATAAAAAATAAAAACTGCTTCTCCACCGAGCTGCAGCAGCCAGTGATGTAAGATTTTCCAGTCGTTTTTTTACTGCCAAATAACTTCAAGTTATTGCATCTTTAATTCAAACTCGCATAGACAACACACAAACAAAGCTGGATAAACGCCCGAGGCGCGGCAGGTAAATGAAAGTGTTTCGCTGCAGAATATCTGAGACAGAAATGTTCCCCACTGGGCTGACGCATCATAAAGTCTGCATCCATGTTTTATGTTTGTCTTGTAAAAATAAGCCAGTGGAGCCACTGTTACTAAGCTAAATGGGCATCAACTTCATCTTTACAGCCAATAAACAAGACCTGTAACATGTTTATTCTATTTAAGCAAGAATTTAAAAAAAAAGCAAAAAGTAAATTTGAAGTTGCTCCAGAAAAAAAAAACTGAAGTTTTAAGTGTCACCATATTTATACAAAAAAAAACCCTAAACCCAAATACATGTAACAGTTTAACCATTTTTATTTGAAACACAAAAGCATCAATTAATCCTGCTCTTCCTTTTAACAAACTAACACGAAAAATGTAATAAAACACCTGCTTAATATAGTGTTAGTTTAAGGGACTGTTGTGTAGAAAATAACTTTATGCTGTTCTGCTCTTTATAGACAAGGTCAAAAAAGTGCAAAAACATACAAAGAGCTTTACCTTTTGTCTTCATTCGACTATATCCTCTATGGCTAGCCTAAAAGTTCAGTGAGAAACTTTAAATGTGTTCCAGCTTGCGTTTTCTTCAGCAGTGGAGTCTTGTATAGTGAGCATACATAGAGGGCGTTTGGATTTAGAGCAATATGCATCTTTTTACAGAAAAATGTATCAGTAATTTTTTTTTAAATAACTCTGGATTCTTTATTTAAGAAGAACCTGGTAGTCTGAGGTCAGATTATGTTCTGTCCACCTCCAGGTTATGTCCCAAACTGCGATCACTGGAACATTTACACGTTTAGAAAATAGGTCTGTAACCAATAGCATCATTGGGTTTTGCAGCCGGGAGGTCTTAAGCGAGCTTGTTTCATTTTAATCCACTGTGATGAGCTTTTTGTGTGATACAAAACCATTTCACAGACCATCAGTTACAAATAAAACATAAGATATTAATTCTAGCATAAAGTGAGCAGAATTACTTTCTAAATACGCACGGGTAGTTTCCTTGGTTGCTTGGCTATCAAATATTCAAATTGGTAAATGATACACGGATGGAAGTCAGCTACTGGACCTACCCTGGACAGTCTGATAGAAGCAACCTCTACTCCTTGGGTTGTTCTACTTTTGTAGACAAATGAATTAATAGAAAACATTGGTTTGCTTCGAATCAACACTGTTGCATGCTGGTGATGTAGCGTCTTACCCAGAGTGAGAGTGGAGGCCGACGAGCTGGAACAGGATGTCTATCTCCATAGGAGTGATTTGACCAAACTTATTCGCAGCGTGAACAAACTCTTCTGCGGTTCAAAGAAAAGGAAGGAAAAAAGGAAGTCATCAAAAAGCCAAGCTAGAGGCCAAGAGTTGGAAATAATAATAATCATTTTTTAAAAAGGTGTTTTCTACAGTAGGCTTTAATTACAATAGTATTTGCAAATACTGATCTTTGTGTGTTTAGGTTGTTATCTTGGTTTATGTGTTTGCTGCTGAAAAGGCATGTAATGGAAAGTATAAACCTTTAAACTACTTTTCATGTGCTCAAGTTCCTTCTCTGAAAGTACTCGCCGCATGAACATCCACTCTCTAAGCATCGCTCTATTATTTGAGCTTCAAATTTAGTTCTTTGCTGCTGCCTGCTAGGTAACAAAGTGGCCATCGGGTGGTCTTTCTAAAAGGAAACCTAATGGTAGTTGTTGAGGAAAGGAAAAGAGTTAGTTATTCGCTTCTCCTGAAAAAGACCTTTCCGTCAGCTCTACAAATGCAACCTGCAAGCTGGCTTGACATAGAGAACTGCGTGGACATGCCTTGCATGACAGAAAAAATGAAAAGTGAGTGTTTGTCTAAGCCTGGACGAAATGTTGCTACTATTTGCAAATACTATTAGCCCAAAGTCTTCTCTAAATGGAGGAAAAACTATGGAGAGAGAGAGAGAGAGAAGTCTGATGTTTGGGTCTCAATGGACAACACAGTTGGGAGCAGATGTGACTGACAGGATCAGCTACTCATGTAGAGGAGGGGTCATCGGATTACCACATTAAAAACATTCATTTACCTGTGTAATTTAGTGCTACAGTTAATGTTCCCTGTGTGTTCACTCACACCACTCTGTCGAGAAAGTTAAACATAGGATCGAACAGCCAGGTGTCATAGCACACGTCAAATTCAGGAGATTGCCGGATTTCAGGAGGTGATTAGAAGCACCTTTCGTGACGAGGGTTTCTTTGTGAGAGCCGGCGAGGGTGCTGTAAATCTTGCGGATCAGCTCCATGCTGTTGAGGAGGGCGTTGAAGGCAGTGAAGTAGGAGAAGCTCACCATGTGGGAGGTGCTGCCTCCTGCAGCCTGAACAAACAGTCAGCTCAAGTCAGAGTAGCAGGATTTTTATTTTAAATAGCGTCACCCGTGCGTAGTACGACTCACTGAAACCAAGTTTTCTTCTACGAAAGGAGTCAGCATGTGGTGCCTGATGGTGGACATGATGTCGCTGAAGTCCAAGGCAGTGATGGTGCCACTTTTCTTCTTGTCCTTCTGTGCGAACGCCTGGCGAGCGTGCTCCAGCTGCAGCTCCTGCAAAAACAGGTGGATGCAAACGGCAAAGACGAACCGAATCACTGCTAATATCTAGCGCAATAAACTCCAAAGCGAGTGCTTTTCTCGGGTCAAATTTCCGGAACTGTGAAATCTTTTTGGATAAATTGTAAAGCACGAAACGTTTGCTACAAATTGATGGCAGATTCTTGCTTACTGAACATGGATGGATGGATACTTTGCTTTCTTTCTTTCATCTCCACAGATATAGAAGCCGTCAGATGCTAAAGTGTCACATGGGCTATTGTCTCTCTCCAGTGACTCATGACATGAAGTCCAGAACCCTGAGAAGCCTCGTCTGAGAGCTGAACAGCTGCCCAGTGGTTGGCAGATGTGTGTTTGAAGAGACATGATATAATATGACAACCATGCAATCAGGAGACGATGCTGGGGAACCTGAACCCTGCTGTCGGAGCCCATTGCCTAGAACCAGAGGAGAGCGGAGCACCGTCACTGAAACACTTGGCTAATTATTGGATTGGCTCTCAAATTGAGTTCTTCTTCCACTGCTTTTCTTCCGTGTCTTGTTGAAAGCACGTGATGAGTTTTCGTCAGCTGACAAAGCTAATACTCACCAGTGCTGCAGTTTCAGTCAAATGCACATCGCGGCAGCGCTGCAGCTCTGAACAACAGCTAAATAGACACACTTGTAATTACTTAGATTTATTGCATCGCTAACTGACTATTCCTGGCCATGACAGGAGACAACAATAATGACATCAGTGTATGAAATTCTGTACACAAGAGGATAATTTGTGCAGTTGTGGGAAACTAGAGTCAGTTATAATAAACCATAGAGAGCTGTGAGGGATCCCGCAGTGAAGCAGAGAAGAAGCCCACCCAGCTTCTTCCTGAGACCACAGCCCTCAAGTCCGGACCAGGTTCCTCCGCACATACACCGATGCCGTTTGCCCACCGCAAAACCATCACTCAGATTCAGGTCAAGTCCCACAAAAGAACAAGCTTTGGATTCTTTACAGGCACATTACTCAACGCTGGTAAACCTAAGGAGGTGAGGTCATGTGCAAGGCTGTAGTCATCTATGTTGCTTTTATTCTAAAGCATTATTTTCTGTCTCCATCTTCATCACGTTACTACATTTTCACAGTGTCAAGCAGTGACCTCCATGTCTCATGTAAGTGGGAGTTAAATCAACATTTGACATGTTCTAGAGCTCATCATTGTGTCATTTAGCAAACAAAAATCGTTTCGGTCATTCTAATTAAACTAAAACAAGAGAAGTTTGATTATTTTCTATTTCAGACAGTGAGAAAAAAAGTGCACTGGTCTTTTTACTCAACATCAGGTTTCAACTGCATATTTTCAATAAGCAGAGAGAAGACTTGAGATATAAAATCAGAAAAAATATCACATCGAAGCAATCCTCTGTCATTGCTAACTTGTAATTCCTGATAATGTGACACTGACTGTGATTTAACAAATTGTGTAGCTCTAACTCAAAGGTATGTTTTAGCAAAACTTCTCAAAATATCAGATGTTAAAAATTATGAAGGCTTATATTTTGTGGCCATCTTGTGGGTGAGAAACCCAGACATTAGTCTCTGCAGTGACACTGCAGATAAATCCTGGGAGTCCTGATGTATACATGGTTGACACGAAATATTTACCTGCAGAAACTGAGTGAACTCTGCGTAGCTGAGATTCTTGTTCCTCTCGTGGCCGAAGTGCAGCCGGATGAACTCACAGTCCCAGTTGAAGGGGATGTGGTGATGGACTGTCGTCTGGCTGAAGATGTCTCTGACATTCTCTGGAAAAGTGTTAAGAAGCGGTTATAAAACACCACAGGGACAAACATCCAGCATCCAGTTGTATTATCACACCATTCAATTGTCTTTATCTCATAAATGCTTTAAATAAATGCCTGACACTTCCCTAGAAGGCCTTTGTTTGCTGAAGTCGATGTAGTGCTCTAACACCTCTGATCTGGCAGTGGATGTAGTCACCGAGTCGAGTTAGTGAGTAGGTGTAGAGAGCAGAGGCTTAAAGCAACCTTCTCACAACTCGGTTGATTCAAAAAATAGAGACACTTTTAGGCTGTATGGTCCTTTCACAAGCCAGTCAAGTCAGCCATGTCAACTTCAGCTGAAACATGCAAACTATGTCCTTACAAAAGGTCAAACAGAAGAGGCAAGAAGGAGTCTTGTGACCTTTGATGACACACTTCTTGTGCTGTATTGTGTAACCCTCACTGCTAGTTAAGAATGGCAGGGAAGAAAAGGTAAGATGAAAAGAAACGAGGCAAAATGGAAACCAAGAGGGTAGGATAGAAGAAAAGAAGGATAAAAAGAAGGATACAAGGATGGAAGGAAGCACACCAAAGAAAATAAGGAAGGAAGGAAAAAAAGAAAAGACAAGGTAGGGCAGGCGAAAACATTTAGAGATGGGATGAATTTCTTATGTTTTTTTTTTATTATTCTTTTGAAAAACAGATATTTCGTTGTTGTGTCGAAACACTGATCGATACTCTCACCTGTCCTGCTCTGAAGCTCTACAAAGCACTTATTTAACTCTTGGAGAACATAGAAAATTAAGAGCTAAAAAGTGTCTTGCTGTTCTCAGCATGTTTCATACCATGTACGTACCAAAAGAGATGTTTCCTGTGCCAGTCTTGTCAAACAACTGAAAGGCCACTATGAAGAGGGCATCAGGGGCACACAGAACCGATTCAAAGGCCAGAAACTCCTGGAAAGAGATCAGTCTGTTTGGATGAGAAAGAAAAGATGTAATCTCAATGAAAAGAGCAGATTTTTTTCAGTAAAATTACAAATTTGCAGCCATGCCAGCTTGAATAATCAACTAAATAAACCTAATAAGATCAAACAAGCTATTGGCATTAAGGGCATGAAGCCATTAGATAAGCCTAGCATTAAGGTAGTTAAAACAAAAAACTTCAGGGTAGTTCCAATTAGTGCATTTTAGATTTTGTTGGCATCATTTCTTCCAATTTGATGCATTAAAGTTATATTTATATTAACTTGGATAGTAGGGCACATTCAGTCTCACTCACAGCACATATCTTGTCTATGTAGAAAAAAATTAACTTGAGGGATTAAAACAGAATAATAAAAGTCAAATATTTAGAGAACTGATCAGCCACTGTCATTTTTTTACAAGGGGAATATCTCCTGCTGTAAATATGTGAAAACGTCATTATTAAAATCTAAAACAAAGATTTTAATAAAATCTTTGTTTGCTTTTCACAGATCAAGTGAAAAGCAAATTATTTACTTTGAAACTCAAGGTCACTATCATTTAAATCTGAAATATGAAACCAACTTAATTTAAATATTTAGACCTGTCGAAGGGCGAGAGATAAGACAACAGATGTTTAAATTTGACTTTGAGAGAACACTGAAGACAAAATATACAGAGAATATGAATTTATAATAATCAGCGTCGAAGGAGGAGGCAGCTTCTGCTCAAACTATTGGGTAGATGAAAGGCTCTGAATGCAGAATTAAAAAACAAAAATGAGTTTTGCCTAAGATAAACAAAAATTTTATTGAAAAGAAAAATATGTGGAACAGATCAAGACAGCCGAGATAAAAAAAGAAAAAAACCCTTCTAAATAAAGCATAGTCAGACATGACACAATGGATGCTACAAAGAAATAGGAGATGGGAACTTGGGCCGTGGGATGGATGAAATGACAACTGAAAGCAGAGCAATAGAAAGACAATGGAACAATCAAGTAATGGAGAACAGGCAATGCAGGAAACAGGCAGACAGAACAAACACTGACAAATGGGTAAAATTTTCTTTTTGAATCAAAACAGGAATTTAACTAGAGACTGAAACCAGGAAACACTGATCGGTGCTTCGCAGCTTTAGTTTGAATTTTCACAGATCTCTGCCGATAGCAAGTTTGATAAAGAAAACAATAGTTTTGGAGCACAAAATGAAAGCTGAAACACTTCTCAAACGTGTGTGTGGATGAAAAGTGTAGAAGAAAAAAAAACATTCAATGTTAATAATAAGGAGCGTGTTTTGAAACATTTCAGTCTAAGACAAGATCTCTACTCACCCGTCCTTGGTGGTGTCGGCCACTCCGGCTATCAGCTCCACAGTTTTGGGGTTGTGTTGCGGCTGCGTGTGCAGACCCAAGTAATTCTGCACAAAGTCTCCGGGGGTCATGTAATGCTCCCCATCCTCCACCACGCTGGCATACTGCAGAGGACACATGTACAGAGCTGTAAACAGCGGTAAGCGTGGATTGACATGTCGTTTTAGACAGAGAAATTGTAAGGTAGAAACTCCATTGTGCGCACAGAAAGATGAGGAGCTCTTCCCTCTCTATAGGGATCTCTTTTCTGTGTCACAATATGGTTTTGTGTTTTACAAGAACAAAGGAATCTCAGTTCATTCCAACTACAGCGCATTTAAAATCTATACAATGCTGTGCTTTGGGCTGTAATGACACGTAGAACTGAACTGTTCACATTCTTTCACATCAGCGTTCTCTCTTAAAGCTACTTGCCAGGCTGCTCTGTAAAAAAACAGCAAAACACATATTTCAAGACATAAGTTTTATAAGTGTTGTTGTTGGATTCTATTTGTTTGTTCACAATTAAAAGCAACACTCCCAAGAACAAGCTTCAAATCCCACATGCCTCTGGTGACATCACAAAAGGTAAAAGGCAACTAATTTAGATTTAAATTGTCTTTGTCTTGTTTTTCATATTTCTCTGTTATGGGCCCCAAATTATGGAATGACTTACCTTTGCAGGTCAGAGAGGCCCCTTCTCTGTCCACTTTTAAAGCTCGTCTTAAAACCCATCTATTTTACTTGGCTTTCAACACCAGTGGGATCTAGTTTTAAATTGTATGTTTTTGTTTTTTTAAACTGTTTTTAATTACTTTTTTATTATGTTGTGTTTTTAAATTGTACAGCACTTTGTATCAACTGTGGTTGTTTTAAAGTGCTTTATAAATAAAGTTGGTATGGTATATTTATTTGCATGTTTTCAGCCACATTCACATTTTGCAGGAGTAATCTGTATTCTACACAGTGGTACCATAATCTTTAAGATCGATTCTACTCTTATACCTCTTGTGATATCACCAACCCAAATGCACATGGAGCATTGAAGCTGGCTTTTTTTAGCACATAAAACTTTATAGTCTGTTAAATCCTGCTCTTCATAACCAAAGGTTATCCGACAGATGTGTGTTTATTTTGTTAGATGTTATTGAAAACAAATGATTAGTCTTTAAATCATTCATATTGCAACAATTTTCAAACAAAAAGATACTATTTTAAAAATACCATTTTATCTAAACATATCATCCTTATAGCAAAAATTATTAAATATTAAAAACATAATTTAGGTCCTTCTAAAGCATTTATAGTGATATATAATCTCTGATTTTCCATAAGGTGCTTTAGATGGATGCAACATAAATAAAAGCATCAACCTTTGAAAATATGCTACTCTGCATGACTGAAGTAAAACCTGATCTTAGTGTCAGGGCTTCAAGATGAACAGTCATTTATAGAGACTGGGTAGGGTTTCATGTTTGGCACCAAGATAGCTCTGGAAGCAGAAGGGGAGCATGAACCAGCAGCAGAAAGGCCATGCTCATGGGCCCGAGCCAAACTCAAAGAGAGAAAGCAAGGGCGTGGGAGGAGACCCCTCCAACCATAAGTGTTTTCACAGCTACAATTCAACGCGCTCTGCTGAATTAACATTTTAGACGGAAAATATTAATTTCAAGCAAACCCATTGCCGTGCTTCTCCGTCACAATTGTGTATCTATTCACCCTCACAGTAGGCCTCAAGTAGTTCTTAATCAAATTATACAGGCAGTCAGAGTGAATAATTAACCCTTCCACCTGAATATGCATTGAAATTAAACAGCGCTGTTACAGCTGAGTGAAGGGATGTTGAGGGCAATACGAGGAGACCGGCATTTCAAACTGAGTCACTTCTTTCAGGGACAAGTTTACACTCCAAACAAGACGCTCTCAGAGGGTAAGGAAAGCTAAAGACAAGACGAAGAACAGTGGAAGTTCTTGGCTAAATTCAACCCTGGGAAAACCCCTTTGGTCTGCACACCAACAACAATCTGATGTCATTGAATGGCCTTTGAAATGACTTTGTTTTGTAAATCCCAAACTGTGTTTAAAATAATCTTTGTGCCATTTAGAATAACTGAGCCAGTCAGAGCATTGTAGTTGTTGTACTAGAGGTGAAAAAATGCAGCCCGTATCCCTCAAAAACCCATAAAATAGCCCTTTAGAAAATGACCCGATGAGAAACTGATAGCAACTCTAGCCTCCTGTCTTTCAGGAACATGTTTTTACTCCAAACATTATGCATATCTACAGTAAACGCATTTACAGGTTTGTGACAACAGCAGTAGCACTACTTGCTTGACAGGCTCCTCCTTCTGTGCTACAACAAATATAAGGTGGTGCTAATGCCATAAAAAAAGACAGTGAAGTGGGTTTTTGTGTTTTCAAAAATAGAATAAATGCTTTACTTTAGAGAATCTCTGTTTCAAGTTTGACCAGCCCAGATTATTAAGTGTAGCCCTAATTCTTTATATATACAAAATAAGTTAAATAGCCCTCTTCTGAATGACACACTCAAAAACTATAAATCAGATAGCAACTTTAGCCAGCAACCATTTAAAGTTTTTACACTGTGAACAACTCTGAGGGGCACTTTTCACCCTAACATGGGGAAATGCAAATAAGTAGAAAACTTAGTTATGGTGCCCCCAGGGCTATTTTACCCTGGGAAAAGAGCCACATTGTCCATCTCAAAAACTTCCACTAGACAGGAATGTGAGTCTTATTAAAGGCTTTTAAAAGAGGATGAAACAAAATTCTGTAAAAAGCTTAAATTTCAAAATGTACACAGTAATTCTAGATTACAGCGGATCTGACGGTAATCAAAACCTTTTATATAACCTTTGATGGAGTTACACCAGGCACTGCAAAAGCAGAACTGACAGATAAAGTAACAAACCATGCATACAAAGTGTTTTTCTATTCATCTGTGCTTTTTGTGAGACACAAAAATTGTAACCTACCTTCAGAAAAATTGTCTTCAACTCATTAGGGTCAGCTCTTCTTGTGGCTTGCACCTGTAACACACAAGTTTGAAATCTCCATGAAAAAAAAAAAAGTTCTCAGAAGAACACAATGTTGTCTGAAAATCTGAAAATTAAGATTCACACAGAAATCTCTGTCATCAACAAAACTGGACTTCAGTTTCTCACTTTTCAGCTTTGATTTTTTTTTTTCTTAACGCAGGCGGCTCAGCAGGATCGATCACAGGACTCGAGCAAAAATAACTAGTTCCAGCGTCTTTTTAACAGCTTTGAAACAAATCTCTCACATGCACAAAAGCAACAGAGCACAGAAATAACAGTTGTCTATTTGAGGCCAGGGAGATGCGCCTATATGTTAGGATGCAGAGCAATAATACAATAAAAGGGAGGAGGGGACTCCGCTGCGTTGAAGCTCTAACCCCAACACTTCCGCGCAGATTAGACGTCCTCCGCACCCCAAAGCGCAAAGCCCGCGGCCGCTTTTACCGCATTTTAAAACACATTTCTGATAAAGAAATATTGACGGAGTCACCTTGACGGCCATGCTGGATGTGACGTCAGCTGCAGTGGACTGTACTAGCGCACGCGCTGGGGTTCGGGATGACAGCACGCGGACATGTCAGCAGCAATGTGGATGTCTGGGACCCTGAGCTAAATTTATCCAAGTATTGTCCCCTCTCTCTGCGGCCAGACTGGTGTTGTGATGGGAGAAACTACTGCAGCTGAGGTGCTGCAGCTTGTTCCTGATCTGCTCTGGTGGGAAGATGACACTCCTGCTGCCTGTAGCCCATAAGCACTAGTCAGGATACAAGAAACAAACTAAACAGTCACATGGCTGGATTTAGTAAAGGTGACTGAAGTCCTGTGGACTAAAACCGGTCAAGGGCAAGCATATTCTTCCCTGTTACACTGTAAAAAAAAATACTTTTAAAGATGTTAAATGAAAGTAAAGATAACAGATTTTGCTACAGTAATATAATTCAAAGTAAAACACTAATATAACATTCACACTAAGCCATATTTCTATTCATTTTAATTTCAATTCAGTAACACTCTTCACTAGAGAGTCAGCCACAAAATATTATTGTTAACCGACCAGGCTGTTCTGAGACTGCTGTGTCCGCGCAGATGTGTGGAAAGTTTAGTGGAAGGAAAAAATTGTAGAAAAATTTCCTCCCACTCTAAGGGGAGCACAAAATGCAGCAAATAGATTGAATAATTTGGTTGTGTCATGATCCTTAGGTCTCCGCTTTGTATTTTTATGATTTTGTTCTGCACCGTCTTTGATAGCTTAAATTTGGTAGTCTCAGTTTGTTTCTGTTTTATTTTTGCTCCTGTCTTCCCTTGTGCACTGTGGTGTAGATAGTTCCTGTTTTCCTGACAGCCCTGTGTATGACTTTCATTGTCAATTTTTTGTTTTCTTTTTGTTCTTGTATTATCTAGTTATTTGGTCATTCTTGCACCCAAATTGACATTGTGGACGTCTTGCAACGTGAACTAGGGAGAGAAAACCAAGGAGCCCAAAGAATGAACCTCGCTTTCCTGTTCATCCTGTCTGCCTGACATTGTCTTCTATTTGTTAATAGTAATTTATGGTTTGAGGACATTTGCTTGTCTAGATCTGCTGTGTTTAATAAAGCCCAAAGTCAACACCATCATCTGCCAGAAAGTACAGCATGCTGCTAACAAGCTTTTTGTTTTTAGCAGGCGTTAGTACCTCATCATACTGCCAAAAGTACCAATACCTTCTTTAATGGCCATGCTTACACTGTGTTGGATTGCTCAGAGAACTAAGTTGATCTAAACCCCATAGAGAGTGAATGAAATACTATGAGGAGGATGAAAGACATCAGAAAAAGCAATGTACAAAAGCTAAAGACAGCATTAAAAGAAAACTGTGTTTCCTTAACTCAGTGGAGTCAGGCTGTGTAGATCTTGGAGATCATTTTCACCATGCAGATATATAGAGTGGTAATTAGAGTCTTGGGCAAAAGCACAAGCTGAATAAAGTACTAAAATGTGATGCCCACAATAATAAATATGTTGAATCAGATTGACTGCAGTAAAAAAAAACTTAATGTATTACCTACTAACTCAAATCAAAATTCTAACATGTAAGATAAAAAAGAAAAAGGTTTAAAGAGATGTAATTGGGACATTATTAGCCATTAATTGGGAGAATTAGGTCTTATAAAAATACTAATTCAACGAGAGCAGTTGTGTTGCTAATCACCACTAAAGCCCAAACCCTCTACCCTTAACTTTCATCCATCCATTTTCTTACACCCTTGTCTTGTTAGGGTTAGGAGGGATGCTGGTTACCATTAACTTTTTGTTAGATTATTATTATTATTATTATTATTATTATTATTATTATTATTATTATTATTATTATTCTAAGCCATAATTCAATTACTTAAACTGGCATTTAAAGGGTTAAAATGTTAACAATAATTAAAGTTTTGATAGTTTTTTTTCGCACAACTGAATAAAAGAAAGTGATGAATGTTTTCTATTTTTGTTATTAAAAATGATATTTAACGATGCACAACATTACTTTAGTAGTAGCTTTTTGACTATTTATATTGCTTTAAATTCTATTTGCCTAAATATTTTAGGCTAAACAGGCTAAATTTGAACTACAGCCCTCAAAACTGTAATTGCTGAATAATATATTGTCAATACAGCTAACTATGGGTCAGCTATCATTGTTGAGTTATATAATTCTTCCCAATGTCTCAGCCTGGAGCTCTTTCTTTTGAGTCATGCTTCTCATCAGTTATCCAGGTGCATCTTGTTTTGAGTGATTCCATAATTGTTTCCTCTTCTTGATCAGAGAAGATGCCATTAATTAGAAGAAAACAATTTCATTTAAATTTTGAGGGTTTGTTTTGCGAAGCAGGATTCTTCAGCTGTGTAAGGGAATTGTTCAGATGTTTTTTTTCCCCCCTCAGAAAATAATACAACTAAGCTTGAATGTTTCAACGTGATGACTATTTTATATTTACTGTGTGTAAAGTTTAAAATAATAATAATAATTTTATTTGGCATTCAAGAAAAAAAAGCTAATGAGTGGCTCACTTGTAGAGGGGTCATCCATCTATCTGTCCATATCACTGACAGTCTCCTGATGAGGTGTTTCCAAGTCACAAATGTGTCATGGTGAAATGTTTGTATACCTTTGTTGGGAAAAAAAGATCCAATTTATTTTTAGGTTTTAACTATTTCTTTATTTGAAACATCTTTTCACATCAGAGAAATAACGATGACATAACAGAAAACAAAAACAAAACAAAAAAAATGTCATTGTATGATTAGAGCAAGTATGAATTAATAGTATAAACTATAATGTATGTATATATGTATGTATGTGTAAAGTCAATAAAAACAAGAACATGCTACAGAGCAATATACTGCTTTTAATAAAATAAAAACTTTAAATGAATAAAAGCATTTATATTTAATTTATATGTATAACAGCCAATAATACTAAAATACAGATCAAAATATTGAAATTAAAAAAATAGGCGTATTATTTTAAGAAATATATTTTTAAAACAGTCTTTGCGGAAATAAAATAAAACCACCTAGAGTCTGGGGGACAGACAGTCCGTTGTTTTTGTGTAATATATGTATATATATTTTTAAATCAAAGCCGAGTTAATTCCAAAGCTAATTTAACTCTTATCTGGTTGTAAACCAATATGATATTTCTGTACAATATCTCAGTTTTTGACGAATAATTGGTTTGAAATGAAAAGTAAAATAGCTGACTACGTATATCCTGTTTCCACGGAAACATGTTCACCCGGAAGTACTCCATTTTCCGCGGGTCTTTTGGGACAATAACACAGTGTGCAGAAATGGCGGGTAAGGGGCTAAATGTTTACGTTTTATAGTCATTCAGCATTCATTTACGTATATTTCGGTCCTCAATAGATGTAAGGACTCCTCTTCGCCTGCTCGAAGCGCATACCTGACCTGTAATGTCTTCAAAACACCGCAAAAAACGAGCTAACGTCACCTAGCAAATGAAGCACAGGGGTGCCTGTAAGCTAACGTTGCTTTCAGACTGTCATGGCATCACATTTTCGGTTTTAGAAACACTTATATTCAAATCTAAGCTGGGGGTAGCTGTGTTAATAAATACGGAGTTCTCGCTGTGTTGGAATGATGCTGTTTAGTCGGCTGACAGCTCTCCTGCTGTATCTTCTCTGATGAAAAATAGTACTTTGTAATCTGATTTACAAACTATATTTTGGATCCATGGAGTTTCAACCCAGCTTATCTGCGGTTACATGTCTTTGTAGACCTTCTGTAAACACATAAGCTTAGCATTTTATTGACAATCAGATGTAAAGACGCTTAGAGGACGATATAAATATGATTTAAGGTAGTACTGATTTCAGAAAGCTAGTAAGCTAGTTAGTAATGTTAACATAGAATAATAGTTTTCATTCCCAATGTCTTTTTGGGTATAAAGAGCTACTGACAATACATTGCTGTGAAAAAGTATTTGCTCAGTTAGATGACTCTATTTATTTATTCTTTTCACACTTTAAGGTTTCAAGTCACTAACAAAATTCTAAGATCAGAAAATAAATTGAATGCAGTAAGGGATTTTAAATGAGTCTTCACATTGAAATTCTAGAAAAAGATATCTATACTAACCTCAGGGAAAATTTATATTATCAACAAACTTCATTACAAAGGCCTGATTATGTACCTGTAGAATCATTACATCCTTTAAATAGAACCTGTTAGACAAAATGAAGTAGGTTAAAGTATCTGTCAAAGAATCATGTTTCTATCAAAAAAGATTCAATACAAATGTAGAAAGTTTTGGAACACCATACTCACAGTAAGACACGACTGAGTATGGTGTGTTTGATTGATGGTCGTCAGAACCTTGACAACTTGAGCTAACTGATAAAACCATAATTTCTGTTTTTCACTAAAAAATCTGAGGGAGAAGGTCGATCTTAAGGTGTGTTTGAGGACAGTATCCAAAAGAGCCTTAAGCACAGAAATAAGGGCACTTCTCAATGTTTAAAAAATGAAATAAAGACTTTAGATTGGTCTAGTTAAAGTTCAGACTTAAATCTGATTGAGATGCTGTGTGATAATCTTAGACAGACCATTTTTGCTTGAATCCTTCCAGTGTGGTTAAATTAAAAACAATTCCTCCATGGCAATGTACAAAGTAACTGCATGCGACATTCATGTCTGAGTCCAGTGTTAAGAGTGGCACAACTTGGTTTTAGGTTCATGGTGTGATTATTTATTCACTTAGGGCCAGATTAGGTTGGATATTTTTTCACGTTTGTTAATTGCATCATTTGAAAACTTCATATTTTTATTTTCTCAGGTTTCTAAAATCTGTTTGATCTGAAACATTCACATTTAGACAAAAAGTTGCTTTTCATTTGTTTGTTAATTTGGCTTCATGTGCACATTCAGAAGATAATGATAGTTATTTCTGGATATTTCATTACATGCCTATACATCTTGCTGTATTTATTCATGTGACCTCCAGACATCAATGTTATTTGAACTACAAATTTTGACATATGGAGCTCAGGAACCAGTCAATGTGGGCTGTAATTCAGTAAAAAAATATAAAACACAATCATATATGCATAAGAAGAAAATTACTGCATTTCTGTCAAAATAAAAAGTGTAGAGCATTTCCTTAGCAACAGTTGTGTTTTATGGACACCCACAGATGTAAATGCGATGGAGAAGAAACTG